CGTCTCTATGTTCAGCAGCAGTTCCATGTGTACCAGATATTGGCGGCTCAAAGTTGACTCAAACGCCAGATCTTAGAGTGCCACAAAAAGTCTTAACTTGTCCGCGTGTTTTCCGGTGCCACGAAAGATCAGGGCAGCTTTCAATGTAAAGAAGCTAATATGGTCTGTTGGTTGTATCAGCACGTGCGCTGCCGATACAGTCGTTTTGCTTTCAACTTATTTCAGAGGTTGGATCATCTCGTTGTGCAAAATGAGATTTGAACAGGTAGCATGTACCCTGCTGACCTGTTTCTGCTTCCTCATTATTTGTTCTTTCTGTATGCGATCTGTCAAAAGAATGTTTGGTATTTTCATATTCTTGTTATCTTTTAAATTATGATTGATTTGTCAAAGCTGATTGACCACTTTGGTGCAACTGTATACAAGCGCTGGTTGTAAATGATTTTCTTAGAAAATATTTGTGATGGATCAAGAAGAGATCAACAATAAATTCGGCGATACCATTGTGGCGTTGAGCGACTCCGACTTCAAACGCAACGCAGCTGTTCCCCTACCGAAGATTCGCTTCACCACTCGTTTGGATCCGGCACTGCTTCTCTTCTCCAGCGGCACGACGGGCTTTCCAAAAGCGGTTATGATTTCCCACTACAACCTGAGTGCCTCGATGGACTCTGACAAAGCGTAAGATATTATTCGTACACTTTAAGGTGCATAAAATTAGGTTCACGTTCTTATCATAAACAATATTTTCCGTGCATCAAGTATCAAACTTGCAGGAAAAATTTTGAAAGCACATATGTTGTCGTAATGGATAGCATAATACCTCCAATAACCAGCACATGAACTGTGACATTCAACAACATATCACAATGTTTATTTCAATAACAGTTAGACACCCGCACGGTAGATATGTCCAATAAACAATGATTGACGTTGTTTACGGTAACGTCACTTGTAACAAACCAATGAGTCTCTAGCATCTCTAAATCTCTTCCTGGTGTCTTGCATGAATCGAGCAATGAGATGTTGGGCCAGACGGCTTCTTCCTGGTCATGCATCAGTCGGAACAATCAACAACGGTAATTGAGGCTATTTATTCGTGATCACGTCGTTATCTACAAACGGCTGGGGGGGGGTCTCGGGTGCACATATGATTCTGACTTGTGTCTTTGTCTCTCTTATGCCGGTCAAAGTAATTGCAATGCGTGGATTAGATGAGATTAGAGGGGTACAACATAAATGCAATGGGCGAAACCTTTTTAAAAACTTTTTTAACAGCAAAAATGAACTTAAACAAATAATTCAAAACTTAAGCCAAGGTTTTGGCTTATCGAAGCAGAATTCTTGTGCAAATTAAATAAAACATTTTTTCGAGAACGCATTTCCTGTCAGAAAGAGCTCCAAAAAGGTTTTTCGACAACAGGCAACATTCGCTGACTCAATTTATAATCTCAATTTTTATATATCGTAGCTGCACGGTCATCGGCTTTCTACTCAAAGTCTACAATCAGGATTTATGAGTTTAGCTAACTTCGCAAGTCTCTCTTTCCACATTCCGATCATGCATTTAGGCTATCGTCATTGCAAACAGGCGCAGTGCCAATTTACACTTATTGCCATTTCAACCACAGAATCCCAATCAAAGAGGCAGAAATAAGAAGTGGATTGCCATCCTCTGGAGGTCACAAAATCCGTTGTACTAGTAATAGGAGGTCCACTGATAATGCTTTTAAAATGCACAAATTATCTAGTTTACCTTTGCAAAGGATACATACTCCGCATTGATTTGATGAGTCTTGTCAGCCGTGTCGCCAGGCAACTACGCAAACGACAATCAGACCTTAATCTGGCCTTCTGGCCTCACAGGAAATGTTACAGACGATTATTATGACCTTTGAAGTTCACCCACCTCCGTGCGTTGAAGAAAGCCTATGGAATGCACGTCGAAACGACGAGAGTGCTTGAGCTATTTGCGATGTTATCACATGAACAAGGTTATTTGCGTTGTATTTAAATAAGCAACTCCACCGTTGCCGGTCCAAGCCCTGATGAGAAAGGAGGAGGGTTGGAGATGGTGGCAAGTCTCCGTACAGTTTATCCACCTGCCACTCATGGCACTGACGCCATCGAAAATCATACCGGCTCGGTCATCGCCCGGGTTACCAAGGGCCGCGAAAGCTGTTGGCGAACTGACGCAAACTGAGAAAAGTCAGCGATCGGAACCTGCTCATTGCCATGTGTCAGCCGGGGGCGTGGCAGGACAACGACGGCTGACGAAGACCGATGCAACGACGACGAAGATACCAGTCAGCAACGGAGTCGCTACCCATTCTGAACTGAAGACGCAGACAGCGTAATGCCATAACAGAACGTCGCAAAAGGGTCCAAGAAAACGACACCACCAGTGGGAGCTTAAAGTCGGAAATTGGAACATATCCTCACCCAGAGGAAAATAGTAACAACTAGTTGATGAGGCCATGAAGTACTAACTCGACATTGTTGGACTCTCGTCAACAAAACGCCCAGGCTCTGGACTCCTGAACCTCAAT